TGAACCTAAATTTCAATCATGTCATACAAGACAAGGATTTCACGCAGTGAAGTAAATTAAATGAAAATTTGGTGTTGGCTGAAATAGTTTGCAGAAAAACAAAATGAGCTGTATTTAACATCCAGGCACAATGTTGAAAAGTGACAATTGCTTATCTCCATGGAGATCAATAATGGCTGCGGGATCATTGTGTAAAGTGTCTGCAGGTTTAATGCAGAAAGGATGTCATTATTATTTTCTTTCTCCTAATGACCATCATTATGCACGGACACTGATTGAATTCCATTTGTTACCTACGTTTGAGCCTGAGTGGAATAATTACCATTTAAGTATCTCCATTAAAATTCATGTTCATACTCAGACCGTCTTTTAAAAATAACTAAAGTATTGAATGAATAGAAAATGCATCAGATATAACACAGGCTTGCGTTCATACTTCAAGTATAATTACATGTATTAAAGCATCTCTTCTTTTTTTCCCAGTTTGTCCACTTTTGAACAAGAAAAGCAGCTGCTGTTCGGTTGTTATCAATACAGCACACTCTTAATATTTAATTAAAATGGATTGCTGGTAAGTGTGATCAATACTCAACACCCTTTCTAAATTGCTTTTTCAACCTCTTGAGTCACATAGAAAATAAATATGTTCTAATGCTTACATATAAGTCTGCTACAATTCTGCTTTTTTAGATGTGTCACAGGCAAAGCGGTGATTGCGCTGCATTCAGACATCAGCAGATCTTTTTCTGCTGTGCCGAACATGGATGACAGCTTTAAACAAGATTTATTCCCAAAGCAACTCTGTCATAGGTCTATAAGCCTATTTCTTTATCCACTGGCGCATGAATTTGGCAACAACAAAACATGTCACTCCTTGTTTCTAGTTTTACTGGTGGTCATCCTTGAGCTTGTAGTCACCCAAGTGGAAGTAACTATGTTTACGTTGCAGGTACATAAGCAGCCTCCTTCTCAACACAGTCATCTTTCTGTAAATACACAGCCGGAGCAGAACAGCGAGCCGGTGGAGGAGAACGGAGAAGGGATTTAGCCCCACCTAATCAATCACTGACAGATTACTGCTAAAGCTACTTCCATAAACATTAAAGAGGGACAAATGCAGAATTGCAACTGAACAAGTGCTAGTTTTAAGCCAACAGCAGGACTTCCTGGTGATTTATCAAAGTCACTGCCACTGAGCAGCATGCCTGCGTGATTGTAGTTCACAACGGACAGAACTAAGGCACAGAGCTGAAAGGAGTGTTTATGCCCTCAGCTGTGGCACTGTCAGCCTTGTGGAATTTACTGTAAATCACATTGCCTTTATTGCAAGATTTAGTAGCTTATCCTCTTGTGGGCTCTATTCACTTCAAGATGCTCCCTATTAGAATTTCAGCTAGAGTACATACACACTGATTTAACAAAATAGTTAGAGTTTATTCCATAATAATGATCTGACAGTTGGCGTGCATTTTATTTACACCGATGTCTATTGATATTTTTAGATCGTAATTATTCACTCACACATAAATTCACAATGAATTAAATAAAATAAATTATCTTACAACATAATTGTATATTGACTTGAGCAAAGGATTACAGTATGTATCCAACATTACATATTGCAGAAAAAAATTATTTAGCATGCATTCAAAATCACCATAAATTTATCAATAACAAATACTTCAGAATAATAAAGACAGAGTTTCACAGAGGTTACCTTTAGTTGCTACATGTTGTCCAGATCATGTAGCAACAGGGAACAACATTAGCTCATTGATTTTGAAGCAATTCCTCATTCTGAGCATGCATGTGGTGATGGTGGAGAGGAAAACTCACTTTTCCATGCGGCACATCTCATGCACAGCTGAGATATGCAAGGGCATGGGTTAAGAAAATATGAATTTAGCATTAGCACTGCTGCTAAACTAGTCAAGCTAGTTGATATAAACATCTTACATGTGTTCTAACAGAGGTCATGTTAATTTTTTTCTGTAATTACCACATTTAAGCAGTTCATTGGCATCAACTGCTGAAGAAACTCAGCTTGCAAGCAGGATTGATTCCAGAGTTACAGAGTTAGTCTTGGTTATATTAATTCTACTATCCCACATGACATTTACAAACAGGTAGTGAATAACTAATGTTTCACATAAAATTTATTTTACTAGTGCAAGGACTCAAATAAACATTTGAAGAACCATCAGCGACATCTGGTCTGTAAATGATTGCATTTTGATTATCTTTTACTCACCACGATATCTGGTACTCTTCAGGCAAATTGTTTTATGGTTGTGACTCGACTAGAGCGAGTGTGCATTTGAGCTCAAAGATCTTTATTCCTGATGAGAAATCATTGACTCTGATGGCCCAGAGATGCAGTACAGCACCTCAGCAAATTATATTGTTTACAGCATCACTCCATGAAAAGTCCCCAAATCGAATTTGATTAACTTGTGTAATGACGGAGAATATAAACACAGACCCGAGATGAAAAAGCATTATAGGTTTCAGGGCCAGGCCGAGAACTCAACATATTTTTATTTGTTATGAAACATGATGCAAGTGTAGCTGCTGTGATTACGCTGAGGATCAGTCAATACCTCGACAAACCACTGATCAGGGGAATAAAAACGGTTACGTGAAGATGCATGCTCCGCTGCCTGCTGATGGTTTCTCCGGAGTCAGTGCTTCACTGCCCGGCAACGCTGCTGAAGTGATCCCACGTGAAATAAGATTCAGTAGGCAGAGGGGAAAAAAAAAAAAAAAGGAAAAAGTAAGTCACATGCCTTGTAGGCCCCTAGCCTCTTTCCGGGGGAAATGAACAGTTTTGCTGGGTGAGCAACAGGAAAGCGGATATATTCAGTTGTTTTCTTTCTGTCATTCAAGGGCTGAATTTCATTTCTGTTAATTTTTATAACCAAAGTCCAAAAGTAAAAATGTTGATCTTAAATCATAAAGACAACAGAACAAAAAGTAGAAATATGTCATTTTTTTCTGAAGGTTTTGGCATGTGTCAAAAATTCCAGAATGTGATGGACATGAACTGTGCTCCTTATGGCTGTGTGCGTGCGTGAGTTTGCGTGTGTGCGTGTGTGCGTGTGTGTGTGTGTGCGGGGGTCTGCATGATGTGTGTATTGACGTGCTGTAGCAAGAGTTCAGGGAGGCAGCTGAGCAAAATAATTTAGAATGTCCTGCCTGCTGACACAAGGACAAAGGCACAGACTGAACATGCCCATATGAGGAAGGAGACAATGGACGTGGCTACACCTGGAAATGCACTGCTGTTGTTTTCACCGTGACCTTCACAGCACACAGAAATTTTCACAGGCTGTTCCTCTGCAAGCTCAGACGCTCACTTCTACTCGAGCCATGTGAGCATATGAATTATCTGATGAATGCTGGCGTCTTCTAATGCCCGACAGCAGAATCTCTGTCCCCTCACTCGTCCTGTCTCTTTGTTGTATAGCTTACTAATATGAAATGCATGGTACTTTAAAATACAGCTTGAGTGGATGTGTTGAAAGTGTCATTTCCAGGTGCAGTTCAGTGGCTGCTCCCTGTCCTGCCTTATGATTTCTCCAAAGAGTTAGGGCAGATGGAATTAGCATGTTGCAGCCAAGGGAGCGCTGAAGGCTGAATCAATGAATCTTTTCCACAGCCTTGGGTATGGAGATGAAGGAGCATAATGCAACTTTTGGGGCCAAACCTCACATAATGTGTCAAACCAGGGTCTCTTTGGTCTCCCTAGTGTATTAAAGGGACCAACTGTCTCTTTCAAGGTATTCAGTAAAATAAAGAGATCCATCACAAGAATGATCATTATTAAGGTATGAGTATAATAAAAATATATATCTCACTCTGTAACTGGGTTTTAATTAACCAACACCAGATCAAAAATCACACTTTTCACAAGTACATGTTAGTGTTTTGCCTGAACATATAATTTCTTGGATGTCTTGCTTTTCTTTAGCTTTTGTTAACTAATGTTCCTGTTTAAATCTGCTGTGTATCTGATGCTGCAGCACATGGGTCCCCCACCCTGGTCCCCAGGGGCTACTGCAGTCCAGCATGTTTAGGTGTTTCCCTGTTGCTACACACCACATCATTTTAGATTTATTTTCTTCCTGCTAGCAATGAAATCTGTGAATAACAATTGCTTTGAATGTGGGAGACACTGTTTTCTATATGAACCTCAATTCATTGTCCCACTTACATAATTTTCTTATCACATGCAAATGAGTAATTTTGATGAATTCGGACAAAGAGGTGTCTTGTAACATCATAAATCAAATTGTGAGGTCAATGTTGAAAACCCTCCTTCAAAATACAGACAGCGACTGACAATGGCAATTCTTTAAGGGCACATGAAGACATCTGCGATTTTTGGGTATGTTCAAATGGAGTGCCATTCCACACAAAGAACATCACCCATTCACCATGTTCTCAGCGTCTATCAGTGGGCACCACCACCTCAACACAACAGTGCCAAATTCCCATAGACTCCACATGTGTGAAATCACAACACTTGTTCAAAGCATGTGTGTCAAACTCCAGTCCTGGAGGGCCACTGCCCTGCAACTTTTAGATGTGTCTCTGCTGCACCACACCTGAATAGGATAATTAGGTCATTAGCAAGGCTCTGGAGAACTGATCTACACAAGAACTAGGTAATTAAGCCATTTCATTCAAGTGTTTTGTACCTGTGGCACATCTAAAAACTGCAGGACAGTGGCCGTTGAGGACCGGAGTTTGACACCCGTGCATTACAGTTTGTGAGCAATTTTTACAAACGTACACAAAAAAAAAGAGTATGTAAAATGTGGAGGGTGGCAAGATATGAGGAAAACTTTTGATAGTGATTTTATTTTCTTTAAATTTGAAAATAGAATCCAAACAAATTTAAGTTTAAAATCATGCACTTTGATTTTTGACTAAAAATATTTAATCATATGAAAAAAAAAAAAAAATATATATATATATATATATAAAGCCCTTTTTAGGTTTCTGACGCACAAAATCTAATTCCTAAAACACGCACGGGTCGTTGAATATATTTAACTGCTGCCCATTGGGGGTGACTTTCTTTGAATTTGGCTCTCACCGGACGGAACATGCGCAGTGGCGCGGCGTGCTGCCTTCAGTCAGTGGAGCAGCTGTCCAGGATTTGGAATTCCAACATGGCAGAGGCTGTGGTCAGTCTTTCCCTGACTAACTTGGAATGGTTTCAAATCGAGAGCAGCTTCGCTTGATCGCGGCGAGTCCCGTGTTCGTCCCTGCGTTCCGCGGATCGATGGTCCCGTAAACTGTGACTGCCCCGTCACCTCACACAGGTGAGTCCCGCTCCGTCTGCCAGTGATGCGAACAAATTATAGAAAGAGAAACTGAGCAGCTCCGTGGAAGCGCTGAGAGACCGTGCCGCGCATCAGAGGGCTGCAGCGCTGTCCGTCTGCGGACGCTCAATCCTGCGTGTTTCATATATATATATATATATATATATATATATATATATATATATATATTACCATTATCTCACACACGAAATGGCACGCATTAGAAAAAACAAAAAAAAAAAAGCGAGGTACATGATTTTGAAGTTAGAACCTACTTTGTTATTGACGCGGCACTCTGCGTAGTTTGAGGGCTGGATCCAGGCTTTCTTTTACTAAATAACTTTCCTGCATTGGGAAGTTTTTGCATGTCAGCCTGAATAAAAGTGGCCGCTGGAACTGCAGGCGGGAGGTTAATAGAAAGATGGGCTGTCATTGCGCTCTTAGTGGGACAACTGCTGGCAAGTAATCTATTTTAAACGTAAAGGGAGGAGGGGACTTCACGCTGCTTTAGCCTCTTCCTCTTAATGGGCGGCTTGAAGAATGTGTGTTTTATGTCATCTACAGAGCCTCACATGCTTCCTATTCTCTAGTTTCAACTCAGCGCAAGAAGTGACAGCCCCTACACGCGCGTCTCTGTCCCCGGGATTTTTTATTTTTATTTTTTGAAATTAATTTTATTTATTTCATTTTCTTCTCTCTTTTAGCTTATCCTTAATTATTCGGCTAAAATGAGCGCGTAAGGAAAAGAACAACGGAGCCTTTTTGTTTCAAGTTGTGAAATCTGATAGGGAAGAAAGTGGCTGTAATGAGAAGCAACCTTTGGAATTCCACCTCGTGAAAATTCCGATTCTGCTGTTTTTTCCCCCCCTCTCCTTTTGTTTTTAGGCTTGAAGACATGATCACTAGCAGCAGTATTTATGGTAGGCCTATGTTCAATTTGCAATTATCTTCATTGTTATATATATATTTTTTTGTTATTTGTTATATTTTGGGAGGAGAAAAGCTGTCATTGCAGTATTTTTATTGTCTTTTTTGTGTGCATGGTTCATCCTAGTAAGTTTCTTTAACACATGGTTGATATCTTAATGATCAGATATATGAGAGGATGGTGTGTTATTGATTTCAGACAAATAGGATTTTCAGTTATTTTAATTTTGCTTGTTGTTTCTAGAAGTGCTGTGCAACTTCTCAAACCTTCGTGCATGCATAAATCTAAAAAAAACATGAATGCATTTAAATTTGCATTAATAAACACATTTTAAATCCAAATTATGTTTATGCTATTAGTAGAGGATTGCTTTCACATCTTTGTTTTAAATATTATATATTGCTCACCCTAGTTCCTTTTTTTACATTTTACCAGCTTAATGATACAGAAAAGCTCAGAATCTATTTGAATATTTAAGCTAGTTATTTAGAACGTAGACTTACTGTTAGATGTTCACAGTTATCAATGTGCAATAATTGCACTTCAGTTTAATTAGTTATTATACACACCGAAAAATGACAGTAAACCAAAATATGCCATAACAATAAAGTCCCATTTAAGTTGACTTTTAAACAAGGGACGACTGTTTTCAGTTGTCTTTCAAACACAAGTCAAAATAAAATCAGAAAACCTCTGCTCACACATATCGCTTCATATGTCAGGAATAGTTCTCATTCTTTGTTTCAGCGGTAATTATTTGTGACAAGCCAGTAAATGGACACAAAGTCTGGTAGTGTGTGTGTGTGTGTGTGTGTGTGTGTGTGTATGGGTGTGTGTGGGGGGAGAGAGGTACGTAACAAGTTGTGCGAATTCTCTCCCCCTGCAAACACTTTGTCCTGTGTGAACCTTTTCTCCACCTCCCAGTTATGAACAACTCACTTAATTGTGTTCTTGCAGTTCATTTGCATGTTTTGCTCTGAGAGGAAATTAAACATTGCCATCAGTGAGCTGAAGTGTGTTTTCATTCCTCTTCAAAAAAAAAAAAAAAAAAAAAAACTGCATTCCAGCATCTGTCGTCCAGTAGTTAAAAAAAAAGTACATTACCATCACATTCATTATGTGTAAGTGTTTTTGTTGTAATTTGTTTTTTGTAAAGTGGATATTAAATTTGGTTGCTTGTATTTATCGTTCTATTTGTGTTTTGCCATGCATGTGTGATGGGTATTTTTATTGAACTGAATTTTGATATTGGCTCCCAAGACTGTAGGGACATATGTGTTCCTGTTTATATTTTAGTTTGTCCTCCTGTTCTCTGCAGATTTACTATTTTTGATTTTTAGTGGGTTAATTAATTAAAACGGATGTATTTCAACTTTCTGGTTTCTCATCAAATCTTGAGACAAGTACTGTTTTCAGAGAAAAAAAAATGCACAAAAAAGCAACTTTTTAAATACGTCTGCATGTTAAAAGTAATCTGGCATTTCTCAGACTTCTCAGTATTTGACCCCTAATAATTAAGAAGTGCCTGAGCATATATTTCAGAGTTCAGTCTCCTGAAGGGTTCCACGCCTGAGCTCCTGCAGAGCGTTAGGCGATTCTTGCAGATCCTTACTTAACCCCAGACACCTCGGATGTGCATAGAACGAACGCTGGCAGCAATGTTTATTTCTGAAAAGACAACATCTGCGTTAATAATTCCAGCTTCTGCTTGACATGAACCTTAGAGGGGAGGAGAGGGGGGGGGTAAAAAAAAGTTGGCAACAGATGCTGAAACCCCCCCCCCTCCCCCATGTTTTTGTCACCCTTTTCAATGTTTGTCACATTTTCTTGTAAAGAGTGATAGCTAATATTAACAAGGTAAAGATGTTTGTTTTACTTTTAGGCAGTTGAAGTAACAAAAGAAAATCTTGTTGAAAGATGATTTTCTGGTTCAGTGTTATATAGTCAGATTGGGAGTAAAATATTAAAGTGAAATTTGACACTTTAAATATTCACTTTTAATGAAGTAAATGCTTGCTTGCTTATTTGTCTACCAGGAATATTACATTAGTCTATTGTTTCCAGATGCAACAAAGCACAAACAGAAAAAGTCAGCAATGCGAGTCCTAAATAACTCCTTGAATTAATAACTTGACATGCCCTTGCCAAGCAATTTAGTGTCTCTAAGTGTTCTGTCTATATTCTAAAGTGTGCAGCATCTCGCGTCCCTAAAAATAAAGGGAAAAAATGTACACAACAGGCGTGACACTTCAACAATGACAATTAAAGGCTAACACTGATGTCGCTCACTGCAGAAGCTTTGTAAATTGATGAAATGTTAAATCTTTTCACATGGATCTATAGAACCGCGACTACAAAAAAAAATCTCCTTGTAGTGAGTGACTATATTCAATCTGATCAGAGCAGGATTGTCAGCTTTAAGGAAATATGTTAAGTGGTGTCTTTGTTGTTTTTTATACATATAAAAAGCAAGAGTCCTCATAGGAGTCAGACTAAGGAAAAAAAAAAAACTCCAGTATTTCAACACGTTTCCCCTCCCTCCTCTCTCTTTGTCTATGTCTCTCCTTTTCTTGTTTCCACATCTCTGTCGTTTCCCTCATGGCAGCCTGCTATGTTATCTGTGTGCGTTTTCTCTCTACACTGACAATTCTCGCAGTGATTTAAGTTGGACTGCATTAGAAGGTGGAGGCAGCTGTCTGTTGCTATACTGAGGGACGTGTTTGCTCTACTGCAAAGATGAAGGACCATGAATCCTTGACATCCTCCCTTTTCCTTCCCCTCCTCCTCCTACCACCATCTCATTTAGACACAGTGACTGTCTGCTCAGACTTGTTTTTTTTTTTTTTTTTCTCTGAGTGACAGCATATGGCATAGACATTTTTAAATGCATGTGCCTACATTTGACTGCTTGTAGCTACCAGCCTGTCATGTAATTCAGTCCTTATGGTAAAAGGAAATTGCAAATTAATTTTATTTGATTTTACAGGGCAAATAATAGTAGGTTGGATAATATAGTACTAAAATCTGTCCTGCCTGTTTGAAATAGAACTTTATAGAGTCCAGCAAAAAAAAAAAAAAAAACGCATAAAAAAAATAATAAAGTAGGAGAACACTGCAAATTTTTCTGAACTTAGCAACAGTACATGTATGGAAGCCTTTCCGTTCCTGTATCTGCTGAATTCCATTACAAGCACATGTCTTTCTATTTAATGACACACTGTTTGGTCGTCACCTGAAACCAGCAGCAATGCTTAAGATAAATGGACGGCTTGCCAAAATGCTGAAAATCTGAGCTATTCACTGAACACTGATTTCTTAACGCTGTCGGAGTGAAAATATATATTCTGTGTTTAGAAATTCATATGAACTAGCCTCCTTTGCGTTATTTGATCCTGTGAAAACATTGCACTATTTTTATTTTCAACATTTTTCCCCATTTTCTGCAAATGAAAGCCAGAAATTCTTATATTGTTATATGAAAGGTAAAAAGTGATTCTCACTGAAACGCATACCTAAAAAAAAATAGGGGAAACCATAAATTTTAAATAAAAACTGTTATTTATTTTTAGAGCTGTATATTATTGTATCATATAGCACAAACGGGGTCTATGTGAGATTTTTAAGTTAGGAAAACAGTGTGCAAATTCCAAAGTATCATGGTAAAAACACAAAAATGTAAACACAAAATAAAGAAAAGAAGTATAACAGCCTTATTGCATTTGTTTTAAAAAGAAAACTTTCATAAAGTTGTAAAAATAATGTAGTATTTTTTATAAATGTATAATGCTGTAATTTGCAAGCTATTTGTACAAACAGGCTTTAACTAAAATGTAAGATTTACTAGTAGTTTTTAAGATGTTTTTTTTTTTTTTTTTTATAAAATAACACAAATATGACAATCTGAAATTAGCCGATAAACTACTGGGCTATCTGTTCGAGTTGTCTGCCTACAGGCAGCTGCATAACCCAATAGAGTTTGTGGCTAACCAGCTGTAGTTTTTATGTAGCTTTACCTTATCCCAGAATATTTCAAAACAGGGCAATTTGCATTAGCAGGCTTTCACCCAGCTTATCAGCAGTGCACAGCAGCAGATGATTCAGCGACAGTTCTGTGTGAATGTTTGAGAGCAGTTAGTGTTTAACAGTTTTTGCAGAGTTGACATTTTAAGCTGTGTTTAGCATGTCATTTTAGCAGTTACCATACTTGGTGGACAGCAGTCCTCTGGTGTATTCCTGAGAGGAAGCAGACATTTTCCTTAAGGTTGAGATTTCCACGTCAGCCACACAGCCCAATTTGTCTTTGCAAGTGAGGAAAAAGCATATGAGTCCTTTTCTAAGCCAGCTGAACTGCAGTACACAGGAAAGGGTGTGGAAGGTGACATTCCAATCACAGTGGCACTTTCTCTTGCATCTCATTAAAATGGCTTGGAAAAGTTTAACTGTTTTAAACTTCTATTACCTTTTATGTACAATGTCCGACCTGAGCTAGTTCAGCTACGGTCACCATTGCTTTCCTTTGCTTAAAACAAATGGTCCACACATGTGATCATATATTTCCCATATTTAAAACAAAACGGCATCCTTACAGAATGCAGGGCTCATTGTGATTGTAACAGTACCACAAAGTGTGTTGCATGGGCAGGGCTGCTTTATTCAGGCCATTGGCTGGCGTATTATTTACTCAAAGTGCTGCATTTGTTGCCTCAAACGCCTTGTTCCTTCCCCTTTCCAACATGCTGAAACAGAGGCTTTGTTTCATCTCCCTCACATGAGGTGTCTCTGCACTCATAAGAAGACGAGGCAGCTCAGGGCCTTTTGGGGATTGGCTAGAATAGACAATCCCCAGGTGTACCAAACTAGGTTTAGCACTAAGGCTTTTAATCTGGACTTGTAGGAGATTCATGTGCATTCATAGATTCGCCTCTGTAATTATCATATCCCCTGTGGCAGCCAGAGAGACGTTTGCCTAAATCACTGATGTCCTCATTACAC